TTTGAAAGGGATAAGATAACAGCAAGTTATCCGTCAGTTGGTCAAGACAACATTCATTTCATTTCGTGATTAGCTAGGCGATCGACTTTTTCTTTAGATGGAAGTTCGAAGTCTTCGTGAGTGTCTGTTGCTGCTGGCCGGCTTGATTGTTGGTTACAATGTGACGTTGTTTCTGAGGCAGAATCAATGCTATTTAACCTATAAAAAGCATTTCCGACCAAGGTCAATGACAAAAGAAGTGCAGTTTAATAACCGTCAATTCATCTTTGTTGGTGTTATGACATCTGAGCAGTTTCTGCAAACTCGAGCTCAAGCAGTGTCCGATACATGGGGCCGGAACGTTGCTGGAAAACTAACATTTTTTTCAAGTCAGGCTCGTAACAAGTCCAAACTACCAGTGATCAATCTACCCGACGTGGATGACTCGTATCCACCGCTGAAGAAGTCGTTAATGATGACCAAGTACATACACGACCACCACATCGACGACTACGAATGGTTCATGCGGGCGGATGACGATGTTTACATCCGCAATGACAAATTGGTTCGTTTATTACGTTCATTAAACAGTTCCGATGATATCTACCTGGGGCAAGCGGGAACAGGTGCAAAGAAAGAAAGAGGAAAGCTTAACCTGTTGCCTGGAGATAACTATTGTATGGGAGGACCGGGTGTAGTATTCAGTCGAAATGTTTTGAAGAAGGTTGCTCCGCATATTGAACATTGTCTTCTAAAAGCACCGAAATCACACATGCATGAAGACACTGAGCTTGGTCGGTGTATACAACGCTATGTTGGAATTTCCTGCACTTGGGCCTCTGAGGTAAGCTGCTAATTATCAGAAGTTAAGGATGCAGGTTTGTTGTATCTTTAACTCATTCGCCCTTCCTTCCTCCCTTCCTCTTCTCCCCTTTCAAAGAATTTCCTTCTCTGCCCGGCTTCATAATGTCCCCGTGAATTCATTCATAACCATTGATACCTCAATGATCTTGAGGATTTGAAATGTAAAAAAATGTTTCATGATCTTCAGGGTAAAATAACGGAAGACACATTAGCCACATACACAGTGTTACCATGTAAAGTTCAAGTTGTCAGCGAACAGCGCGCGTATGTCCTAACGCTGAAATAAGTCTGCCAAACCTGTACGTTAGGTGAAATTTGTGGTCCACCCGTGACAGAAGGCTGCTAAAAAGGAGATTTGTATGTGATTAGTTTAAACTTCAGGTTACCGCAAGTATGAAAAAAAGTTACCAGTGTAATACAAGCTAAGATTACCGACCGCTCCATGATCTTGAAGATTTAAAATGTAAAAAAATTCTTCGCGATAACTTCAGTTTAAAATATCGGAAGACAGACCAGCCACATACACCGTGTGAGCGGCACAGCCTTATTCTACGGAGAATTTCAAGTTTTCAGCGAACAGCTTATATCCTAAATTGCATTCTTCACCGCAAAAATAAGGGCCTGTTCACATGGAAGTGGAGGACCCCGGGGAGGTGAAGTACCTCAACTATCCGTGGTAAAGAAATAAAAAAGACTCCAAAGTGGTCAAATGCTGGGAATAAATGAGGGGAAAAGACACCGTAAACTTGCCTTAAACAAATATAAGTGAATTGTATTCAAGATGACTTGAACATTGTCAATAGCTTTTCTCGCTTTTTGATTGGCTACCTAAATAAGTCCATAAAATCTCATTGTTTAAAAAGTTGACAGTTTGACAGCTGAAAGTTGAACTTGAAAGCTTGCATAAATTAAAATTTTATCTGTCTGTACTCTTATTGATGATAAAAATGAGCCAATCAGCGCGCGAGAAATTAGGCAGTTATTGTAAAACAAAGAACTAACGTTTGTTTTCTTCGTTTGTTCCGATAAAGCTGCTTTTCGCTTGAATGTCGTCGTTGCAGGCAAAACTTCAGTTTGATTCCGCTGATTAGCCTGACCTATTTTCATTGATATGATTGCACCGAAATGGCGACGCGTTCTACATAAATTAGCATACTTTTCCTCTAGAGACCCTCGTAAGACCCATGGGTACTGAGCAGAGTGTTTAAACGCCCTCCGCACTTGAGATCCTTCTGT